GTCCGATGTTGGACATACATCTTTCCACTCTTTGGGCTTCTGGACAAAAAAAAACCTCCCTACAAACAGCGCCGCTATGAATCGGAACCGACTCCACGGCACATAACAACAACAAACACAAGGAGTCGAGTGTGGCGCTGTGGGTTAATGCGTTGTACTGTAAAGTTGATTTGAACTGTAAGGTTGGTGGTTCAAGCTCACCAGCTGCTCCTAAACAGTGTCATTATTGGTCAGAACCGACTTGATGGCACATAACAACAACAACAACAACATGAGGAAGGACTAAACGGGAGGAGAGTTGAAGGCCAGAGCAGAAAGTGGGGTGGGTTAGGAGAATGCTCCTCAGGGACACAACCCCAACTTCAAATTGTGCCTGTCCCACAATAGTTGTGTGCTCACGCGTCTTCTGAGAGCCTCCATTTCTTCATTTGAACTTGGTGCATAAACAGGGTTCCAGAAGCTCCCCTCCTGGCTCCTTCTCAGCTGAGGTGGACAGGCTTTCTTTGTTAAGGGTTGAATCCTTTGAGTGGTCCCCTTTAGTCATGTAAATGTGGCCCAGTAGGTACCCTTTGCTCTGGTGAGAGAGCGGAACTGGACCTTTTGTGGCTGGACAAAGACTGCCCTTCTCAAGGCCCCCTGGAATGCAGAGCTGGAGACAAGGGAGGAGGTAAACAATTTGCATATGAAGTCCAGCGCCTTTGGGGAGCAAAGAGCTGGCCACACAGCCCCCCAAGATCAGGTTGAGGAATCGACTAAAACCTACTGTCAGGAAAGGGCTTCAAGGTCTAGTAAACAACTGAACAAGGAGAACAAAAGAACCTGAGTGAATCTGTGGGGATTCCTTTCAACAGCAAGGTCGGTGGTTCAAACTCACCTGCCGCTCCTCAGAAATCCTATACAGAGTCGCTATGAGTTGGAACCAACTTGAGGGCACTCATCAACCACCAGACTGGGCGCCCCAGGCCCAGCACCCCTAACAGGCTGCTATTCTTTGAGAAAGATCAGGGAGAGAAGGATCACTTGGGCTTCATAGCAGCTGTGTGGAACGTGAATCTGCAAGCGAAACTGCGCGGGTCCCATGTTCAACAGCGCCACTGTGATAAGTGTGGAAAAACAATTATAATCCTGTTTATTCGGGTAACTTTTTTTATTTCCTGAAGTAAAGACTTTATGATATCTCTCTTTTTCTTTGGTTACTTCCTGAAGTGAGTAAAGAATTTATGGTCACTTTCTTTTATTTAGACCACTTCCTGGAGTAAGAAATTTATGATAACTTTCTTTTTCCTTAAACTACTTCCTGGAGCAAAGACTGACCCCTCTCTTCTTTTCCTAAAGTAGGAATGTTCACCTTAAAAATTTGAACTAGCCAACCGAGTAAGGGAATAGATTGTGCGGTCAAAACCCTAGCCAATAGGGTGAGACACAGCCTTGAGACTCGACTCGCGTCGGGGATTAAAAACCCGAGTGGACTGCCCACTCGGTGTGCTCACTGGCCTGTTCGTGTATGTACGGCTATGCGCAGGCACCCTCTTGCAAGAGTAAATTTTACTTTGCCAAGGTAATTTAGTCTCACCGAGTGTCTTTTATGCGACATTGGGATTCATTTCTAACATAAGTAACGACTACTTTCAGCCTGTCCAGAAAACACTTTTTGGAATAAGCCCCTGAAGCTCTTGAATCATTTGGGAGTAGGTGGGCTCCAAGAAGATGAGAAAGGATTTTCTGTCAATAAGAACTTAGGCAATCAGTGAGAAAAATTAAATCTTATTTTAGTGCTGAGTTAAGGAGACAGGTCAAGCCGGTTACATAGGCTAATTGCTTAGTGCCAAGCATACCATATATGTGCTGTAAAGGGATCATTAGAATCATTTATTAACTTTTTAATTTCCAGGTGACCTTTTGTTTCCTTAGTGATCCGCAGTAGATCTCTGAAAGGTCAGGGTTGCTTTCAGAAGCAGCCCAGTTGAGGAGGCTGGGGAGTCAGGTCACACCCGTAGGCAGAATATGGGAAAAGGACCAATCAAGAGCTGGCTGAGGGTGGCAGTCAGCTGGGGCCTCATTGGCCAGGCTAGGTATGGGTGGGCAAGCATCAGAATCCTCTCTTCTGCTAAGGGGAAGAAGATGCTGGTGAAATGGTGGGAAGCCGAGAGCTGAGTGATCCAGCTCCATCTGAGAATCCTGAACGGTGTCCCCCAGGCCTGACCTGGCTGCCTTCTCATGCCCCACATGGAGGCTATGGGTAACTTGGGTTTCTGATCTGCCACAATGTCCCTCAGTGCTGGCAGGTGTGCCCTTCTCATCAGGCTGACCAGCCTTGTCCACGCCTAAAGTTCAGTCCACATTCGTTGCTCTGGGCTACGCATGTGCCTGAGGCCTGGACTGTCCCTCCCTTCCTTTTCAGTACAGGGAAGGTGTTTACTCTTCTTTCAAGGAGCCATGGGTGGTGGGTGGGCCATGAGAACACCCCATCCCTTTCAAGGAGCATGGCCAGGGTGCCTTCTCCCCATCCTATGCTCTGGGGCCTCCCTTCTTTCTGAGAATGCTGACATCCCCCTCTCCTTGGTGGAGCTGGGTCTGGAATCAGCCTTTAGGTCACCCTGGCTGGCCCCTGAGCCAGCCCAGAGCAAGGGGCACAGGGGTTTGGGGAGCTCTGTGGGTCACTTTATTCCCTTGTCTGACTTGCGCACACCCAGAACTTCATATGACTCAGTCTCCTGCCCCTCCCAACACCTCGGTCCCAGGCACCCCTTTCTCTGAAATACCATTTGCTCCCTCCCCCACTCGCCCTTAGCACAAGCTGTTACTGGGTACACAGCTCTGGGGACAGGGGCCCTCTCCTTAAGCAGTTCAAGGCCCGGCTCCAGAGTGGGAGGTATGGAGAACAGGGCCAACACCCAGGGCAGGTGCTACCCGCAGTCACTGAGGCCCCAACGTTTTCATTTAGTATTAAAAACCCAACCTGACAGATTCTGACTCCCAACGACTGAGTACCTCTATCCCACAGTGTTCCTGGGGCTGTACCTCTTTATGGAAACAGACTGCTTCATCGTTCTCTGGTGCAGCGGCTGGTGGGTTTGAACTGATGACCTTTCACTTAACAGTCAAGCACTTTAGCCACAACACCACCAGTTGTGTGCTGAATCAGTTCCAGCTCAGAGAGCATGTATAGGATTTCCAAGGAGCGGCTGGTGAGCTTGAACTGCCGATCTTGCAGTCAGTCTGTTGCTTACCCTATTACAGTACCACTCCAGGACGCTTGGAGGCCTGGGGTGGCTCTGTGGGTTAATGTGCCAGACTGCAAAGCCATTTGAACTGCAAGGTCGGCAGTTCAAACTCACCAGCTGCTCCTCGGAAACCCTATACAGGGTTGCTATGGGTAGGAATTGGAGTTCTGGTGTGGCGCTGTAGGTCAATGCACCAGACCACAAAGCCATTTGAACTTCAAGGTCGGCAGTTCAAGCTCATGAGCATCTCCTTGGAAACCCAATACAAGGTTGCTATGGGTCAGAACCATTCAAAGGCACTTAATAACAACAACCAGGGTGCTTGTCATTTTGCATTGCACCCCAGGGGTTAGAGGAGAGGATCTGTGCTGCTGAGGAAGACAGCAGCAGCCCTCTTACAGGCAGTAGATCACGGTGCCATAATTCTGCCCTGCCGTCACTCACCAGTGCAGACACTACCAAGTGGGCAACCCTCTGGGGGACTCGGTTCATTCTAAGGTGCCTCCTAGGCTCAGGCCGGGGGCTCCTGGGGGAACTGTCCCCACACATCTAGAGGGAAGCCGCTCAGGCCAAGGCTCTCAGCAGAGGGCGTCCTTTCCCTCAGCCCTGGGCCCAGCTGAGTCCTATTTCTCACCAGCTCCCCACCTAAGCCCACCCAGTGTCTGCCTATCCTGTGTGACATTAGGACATGTGCCTATTTGCAACGGTGAGGAGGGCCTCCACTTCAGCGTTGCCTCGAAGGCCCAGTCCGGGGGTCCTCCTCATGGGGTCAGAAGCAGGGGACAGGTTGTGTCTTCAGGTACCTTGGGTCCCATTTGGGCTTTCTATGAACCAGAACAGGTAGTGACACACCAGGAAAAAAACAGTCCCCTTTTATTGAGAAAATAGAGAGGACTCCCCATCTTTACCTAGGCTGAGGTAGGAGGTGGTATCCTTCTGCGTCCACCCAGGCCCTGGGTGGGTGGGCTATGAGGACACCCCATCCCTTTAGAGGCAAATGCTAGTGTGTCCAGGCCCTGGAGAAGTGGGAATCCAGGCAGGGAGAACTCTCGAAGGGGTGTGAGGAATGGGTGTCGGGGAGAGGAGGCTCAGGGAGATGGCCACTACTTCCTGAGGCCTGGAACCTTCTTCTTCCAGAATCTTCATAAATAAATCTTCACAGTGAGAGAGGAATGCCAACTTCCAGGGCCAAACCAGCTGGTTCCCGGCCGGGGGTGCAGCCTGTCCCGTGGTTCTGAGGAGAGCTGAGGTAGTCAGTGGCTGTCGTGACTTTGCAGGGGACAGGTCGAGCATCATCCAAGGGCCCAGCCAGGAGGGAAGTCAGATGAGTAAAGGGGCTTTTGAGATGCCATCTCCCAGCAGGGCAACGGGCATGGAGTGGGGCCTGTGAACCTGCATAGGGTTGAGCTTCTCCTGAAAGAATTACTTCAGGCCTGGGCCCTGTGGGGAGACTGAGGCACTTCCCAGAAGCATCTTGGTGGGAACAAGCTTAGCCCCATGCCCATCTGAGTCAGGCCTGGCCCAGCTACGTGAGTACAGGGATCCTCTGGGCCACCAGGGCCTCCATCCTGGTCACAGGGGTCCGGTACTGGCCCTCAGAAAGCCCCAAGTTCTCCATTGCTAAGCAGCTCCAGCGTTCTCAGAGCTCAGCCTCATTTTCGGCCCATACACAGAGGGCCTCTCCAGCTCCCTGCTCTCCACCAAGCCGGTGGTTCATCTGATCCAAGCCCCTTCACCTCCCTGGCATGAGGCTTCTCTGGGGGGTCCTGGCAGGGGTCAGAGTACCTGGAGCCTGCGCGAACAGGTGAGGTTACCATGCACTAGCCCCCACATGGCCAGCAATTCAGTGGGCAACAGCTTATGCACCACGAGCATGGAGCGGAAAAAGCAGGGCTCCTTGTTCATGCGGCTGTTGCGGTTCCGGGAGATGCCGAACGTCTTGAAGCCCTCATGGGCCACAGGCGGCACACCCAGGACTTCCAGACACATGCCCAGGAAGACGTCGTCAATGGGGTAGAGTTCCAGGGTGTTGCATGCGTGGTAGAGGCGCCGGGCCAGGCCGCCGGCCATGAGGAAGCCACCACCACCAGCGTAAGGTGGGTAGGTGGTCTTGCTGTACAGGGCACTGGGGATATAGTATTTGTTGTCCTTCCTGCGGATAGGCCGGGCTTTCTGCAAGATGTCACCCACGAACAGGTCCTCCTGGGGCTGCCGGTCAGCCAGAAACTCCAGCAGGTTGGCTGGGTTGACGAAGACATCATCATCACCTTTGAAGATGAAAGGTACATTAGGACAGAAGATGTCAAGCCACTTGAGGAAGTGGATCTCCTTGAGGGTCAGGTTGAAGAAGCTGTCGAGAAAGTCCCATTGCAGAATGTCACCATAGAGACGGTCCTCGTAGGCCAACAGCTGCTGATAGTGGGCCCGTTCTTCCTGTTTGGAGGCTGTACCCAGCAGGAAGAGGGTACGTACAGCACCTTGGCCCCTGCCCGCTGCTTCCTGCTCTCGACCCCAGGTCTGTCGGATGGCCTCGCGGCGGTCATGCTGTGTAATGACCGACTTGACAACCATCAGCAGATAAACGTTGCCCCTGCACTTCTCTGGGTGGCTGAGCAGCATTGGGAAGTATCGGCAGTGCCGATAGAGCACAAACTGCCGGAAGTGCGGCTCTAGGCCCTGGAACCATGCCTGCTGGGTCAAGTTGACGTTGGCTGAGCAGTTGGTGGTGGTCACGTCCCAGAACTGGGTGCCCCGTGAAGTTGTGGGGGTGGAGATGTCCACCTCCTTTGTGTTCTTCCAGAAGCTATTGACCAAGTGCCCGCTCTGCTTTTGGGCCTTCTGTGATCCCAGGGTGGATGGTGAGTGTCCTTGCAGAAACTGACCGGGGGTCAGGCTACGCTGGAACACGGTTATGGCCACAAGCAGGGCCAGGGACAGGCACACACTCCTATAGACAGTCTTCTTCCTGTGGGGAGAGAGGAGAGAACTGGGTCCCTATGATTCTCCCACCTGCCATTCTACAGAGATGGGCCAGCCCACATGACCAAGTGGACCCTGGGCACAAACTCAAGTTCCAGCTTCCCAAAGGAAGTAGGATCCTGCTTTCTGGCACCCTGGCCTCCCTCCTCAAGGGATGGAAGGAAGGGGGCGGGGAGCACACAGCTCAAAGCTTAGGAGAAACCACTGTGGAGTTAGGTCCCACTGACCCTTTTAATGACCCCATAGGGTTTCCAAGACTGTCAATCTTTGCGGGAGCAGACAACCTCATCTTTCTCCTATGGTGTGGGTTTTGCATTTGGACCACCATCTTTGTGGCTAGCAGCGCAGTGATTAACTCACCATGCTTGTTGTTACGTGCCATTGAGTCGGTTCCGATCCATAGCAACCCTGAGAAGCAGCTGGTGAGCTTGAACCACAGGTTCAAACTGCCATTGCTTTCCACTGCATTAACCCACAGCCCCACACCAGGACTCCATGAAGTTAGGCTGCTGGGGTACAAATCTTAGCTTGGCCACCTTACGTCACTACTGTAAGTCCGAATTTTATCTTCCCCAGAGTTGAGATAACAGTACATGATGGGGGTTCTGTATGCACTCAGGAGATCTTGTGATTCTATAGGGATGACCTATTGGTGACCTCTGCCCCCTTCCTCATCCTAAGCAAACTCCACTCCCTGGCCAGGGAGTCCTGAGGTCCTTGCACTTTCTCTGTAGCGGGGGAGCTCAGTAAGTCTGAGGGCATGGGGCAGGCGACCTTAGCTTGTTGTTACGTTGTCGATTCTGACCCATAGCAACCCTGTATAGGGTTGCCAAGGAGCAGCTGGTGAGCTTGAACCGCCAACCTTGCAGTTCAAATGACTACAGTCTGGTGCATTAACCCACAGCGCCACACCAGGACCTTAGCTTGTTGTTAAGTGCCGTGGAGTCGGGTCTGACTCATATTGACCCTGTACAGGGTTTCTGAGGCTGTAAATCTTTACCGGAGCAGAAAGCCTTGTCTTTCTCTCGCAGAACAGCTGTTAGTTTTGAACTGCTGACTCTGAGGTTAGCAGCCCAATTTGTAATCACTACACTACCAGAGCTCCTTAGCTTAGGACCTGAAAAAAGCTCCTCCTTGGCCCATCTAACCCAACAGTGAGGGCAGTCCTCATGGATGACCAAACCACAACAAACCCTCTGCCCTTGAGTCGATTCCAACTCATAGTGACCCTGTTGTTAAGTGCTGTCCCGTCCATTACAACCCATAGCAACCCCGTATAGGGCTTCCCAGGTGCAGCTGGTGACCTTCAACCACCAACTTTGCAGTTCAAACTGCTTTGCAGTCTGGCGCATTAACCCACAGCGCTACACTGGGACTCCCAAGATTGTAAATCTTTACAGGTGCGGATAGATTCATCTCTCCCCCATGGAGTGGGTGGTAGTTTTGAACCACCAACCTTGAGGTTAGCAGGGGCGGTATGACCACTGCCTGTCCTCTCCAATGTCCCATTAGGAGAGATGGGGCCCCCAGCCCTAGAAAACACGTTGTCACCTCACTTCTCTGGGGTCCCTTCTTGCTCAGGTGACGGCTACCAGACCCATTCCAGAAGCAGAAATCAGAGCAGAGTCCATGGCTTCCAGGCCCCCAGTCGTCCACTCACTCACTGGGAGCAGCATGGCCACCTGACCTGGCCTCCCCTCTGGAGACACGGGAGTTCAGGGCAGGCCAGAAAATGGTGGTCTAGGAGGGTTCTGGTGGGCAGGATGATGCCACTGACCTCCAAGGTGGGGAGGAGAATGGCTAGGGGGAGACCAGGGTGGTCTCCCAATGGGAGGACGCTAGGTCCAGGCACCTAGGCTGGGTGCAGGCTGAGAGCCCCACTTTATCCCATCTGGCCCCAAGGTCTCCCCGGCAATGAGTGGAGGAAAGCCGGCCACTTCAGAGCAGGGAGGGCGTGTGACCCAAGGCGCGGGAGCCCTTCCAGGGAAGAGAGGGGAACACTCTGGGCCTGGGGGTTTCAGCGAAGCCCCCTCAAGGCCCCGCGGAGGACCCGGGACCAAGGAAGTACACCTGAGGGGCCGAGGGAAGGGGGACGTGGCTATGCCCTCTGCCCGGCCTTCCTACCTGTCCCACCTCACTCTATTAGGTAGAGAAAAGTCGCAGGGGAGGACAGAAGAAAGGCGGGGACCAGGGGCCAGGCCGGGGGCCCCCCTCTGGGGGCAGGAGAGCCGCAGGGGGTGAGGGCCCCTGGGTCGCTCAGGACCCGGACGGCGCTCATGTCCGTGAGAGATGGGGGGGGGGGGGCGCTGCCGGCGAGACCCCGCGTCCTCAACCCTAGGGTCCCGGAGGAGAAGTTGGGTGCCTCGGGGCGTGGATCGGGAAGAGGGTCCACTTGGTCCCAGGGAGAGTCCGCGCGCGGGCATCTCCGGACACCACCCACGCGAGTGTCTGCTCGGGAAACTGAGGCCAGACGGAGCCCGGCGCGCAGCCCTTGGAACCCCCCGCCCGCCGCCCCCTACTCACCACAGAGACATGGCGGGCCCGCGGGGCGGCGAGCGGGGCGCAGGGACGGCGGGGGCAGCTCTGGGACGGCCGAGCGCGGGGGCAGCTCCAGGGACGGCGGGGCGCGGGGACGCGCGGCAGGCCGGGCGGGGGCAGAGGCAGAGGCAGAGGCGGGCCGCGCCCCCGCGGCCACTTTCCTCTTCCCGCGGCGGGGGAGGGGCCCAGTGACCGGCGCCCAGGTGCGTTAACCCCTTTGCTCCTCAACGCGCCGCCCGGGGTGCCCCCTTTTCTCCGGGCGGAGTCCGAGGCTGCCGAGAGCGCGGAGCTGCCCCAGGTCCCCCGGCCCGACCGAGAGTGGCTACGTCGGAACCTCGGGTCCTGAGGTTACTACCTTGGAGCCTTCCCGGGGCCCCTGGCTCTTCCTGCTCTTCACCCACCCCGGCCCCACCTCTGCGGGGGGGGGGGCCGAGGGCACCCGCATTCCAGGCCAGTTCCCCTCGGATTTTTCCTGGGAGGGGATTATAGAAGCAGACTGGGAGTTTCTTTCTATCCCCACCTCTATCCAGGCGGACCCCCTTCTATATACCCAAGCCGCTGGGGTCGGACCAGCAGGAGGTGGTGGGCTGGGGAAGTCCACTCTCCACCATTCTCTGTGCCCACAGTGGCTCACCCTGGGGTCCCCCCACCAAGGGAAGGCCCATCTGCTGGCCCTGTGTGCAGGCTGGCTAAGCCGTACCCTACAATGTCCCTGGAACGACCGCGCCTTTCTTTTCATCCATCTGCAGATATTTCACCCCAAACCCTTTTGCTCTAGTTCTTTATTAATGATTTCCTGTAAGCCAGGCCGAGGGGACATTCTTGGGCCAGGAGAGTCTGGGTGATCTAGGTCCCCAATTAGGTGTATTGGAGAGTTCCAACAATCTGGCCCGCTCTCCTTTCTCTTCTGGTCTTGTTCTGTGGGGAATCACAGTGCTGAGCATACAGTAGGGGCTCAAACGTGTCCTTTGAATTGAAATGGAAGCATTTCTAGGCCCGTAAAAAACAGCTAACATTCCAGTGTTTGCAGAATGCCGAACACTGTTTATGAATGACTCATAAAATCCAGGTAGTTCATGAAGACACTTACATGGCTATCTTTTGAGGGTGATTTTTATTTTAATTTTTTTAAAGTAACTAATTAGGAGCTCTGGTAGCATAGTGGTTACGAATTGGGCTGTGAACCTTAAGGTCAGCAGTTCGAAACTACCAGCCGCTCCGCGGGAGAAAGATAAGGCTTTCTGCTCCCATAAAGATTTACAGCTTTGGAAACCCTGTACAGGGTCGCTTAACAACAACAATATATTCTGGTGTCTGTAGGAGAAGCATTATAATGTTTCAAATCCACCAGCTACTCCTTGGAAACCCTAAACAGGGTTGTTATGAATTGGACTCCATGGCACTTCATATGTACTACATACAGTGTTGTAGAGTGCTTTGGTAGGTAGTGGACTATGACTTGGGGGCTATTAATGGCAAGGTCAGCAGTTCTAATCCTCCAGCTGCTTGAAGGAGAACGATGAGGCTTTCTGCTCCTATAAAGATTTACAGCCTCTTGCTTGCTATACAGGGTCGCCGTGAGTCAGAACCAACTCCAAGGCCCACAACCACCACCACAGTGTTGTAGCTTGTAGTTTGTTGATATTATTCCAAGGGGTTCTTGCACAGGTGTTTAAAGATTGGATTTAGAGACACTGATAATAAAAGGAAATTTCAATGGAAAAAAAAAAAGGTAGAACTGATTTACTACATAGTCATTGGAATGGAACCCTGTCTTAAATCATGAACTACCTGGATTATGATTCCCACAGTACAAATGAAGAAATGGAGGTACAGAGAGAGGGAAGTTCGCCATGTTGGGGTTCAGTCATTAGCAAACCCAGAGGCCAACAATGATGTGGGGAGGCCAGGAGGCCCCCAGGTGCAGTCAGAGTAGGTGGTAAGAGGCCTCTGCAGCCCAGCCTGAGGAGCCCCCTTAGCCCCTTCCGTGAGACTGGCCCCTTAGAGGAATGTTCTAGAATGTTAGAAACTCAGAGGAATGTCAAGGGCCTTCCAGGAGACGAACCTTGGAGCCAGGAAGGCCTGCCCTGCAACTCAAAGCCCTACTGGTTCAGCTTCCTGCAACTGAGAACCCTGTCAGCCCCCATCCCCATTCCAGCTTGCCCCTGGCCACCAGGCCCCACAAGGCTCTTGGGCCGGAAGAACTTCACCCCACTACCCAGCTTCTGCATTCCCAAAACATGGCTTTGGAAGGGTGGGTGAATTAGCATGAAACCTCACTTGGATCAGTCCCCCATCCCTACACAAGGTGCATGCTGAGAATAACTCCCTACCCTCTCACTCTGGGCTGTGGGGTCTCCTCAGGTGTCTCATTTTGGCCAGGCACACAGCTGTCTCCTGAGAAAGGGTATGGCCTTGTACTTCCTGGCTGTCACTAGGGGTAGGTGAAGGCCCCCTGACCTCAATTTCCTGTTACCACTGCATGGAACAAGCAGTTCAGTGTCTTCTACACAGTGAGTCATGACATCATGACTTAAGGTTGCTGGTAATATCTGGCTGGTAACCCACAGGCCCTAGAGTCCTCTAGGTTCAGGGGGACTGCCGTAGTGGGGGCACAGACATGTTCTGGGGAATCTGGTTAGGGAATCATTTGCTCTGTACCTGGGTCCAACTCAGGTTAAATAACAGTTAAATCCTTCATCTTGACCAGATTGAGTGGGTGGGGTGTGGGGGACCCTCTGGCTCTAGTTGCCATTTCAGTCAGGGAGCACCTGAGAAGCCCCTAAAGGCAGACCCCCAAAGAGGGAGACCCACCAGCCCCTGCTTCAGACAAAGACCTGGAGGGAGGACTGGAGCCTGTTGTTGGCTAGGCATCTGGAGTCCCAGGCAGCGGCCGGAAGTGGAAAGTAAATTCCATGTCCCTGTCACTGGGTCATCCTGTGTCCCCCTCAGCATCCTGTGCTGCCTTGAAAGAGGGGGCTCAGCTTGGATGTGGCAGAACCCCAAGTCACTCCCTCCCTCCTCCTTTCCACACCTCTTTTTGCACCTTACTTTTCCTTCTGTCCCCCTCTCCTTCTCCACATTCCAGCCTCCCTCTACCATCACATTCCCTTCTTCTCTCTCCCCTCCCCCACCTCCATTCTCCCCTAACCCATACCCCCCCTTCACTCCTCCCCATGCTGCCCCATCCTCCCCCTCTCCTCCCCAGTCTCAGCAGCCCCTCTCTCCTTTACCCCACCTCATTCCTGCCCTCCAGGCCTTGCTGGTTTGATTTGGCGCAGTCTCTGGGAGGGTTTGGGTCAGGTTTGGGTCTGTAAGGTGGAGACTGCCTTAGGCCAGAAAGAACCAAACTGTAAACAGGGCATGGGGAGCCCTGGGCCCCTTGGAGAGAGTCCAGAGTCCGTCTTTGGCAGAGGCAGGTGCCAGTTGTAGTTTATGATGTTTAGGAGGTGAGCGAATTGATTTCAGGTCTTTGTGTCTCCAGGTGTACTCTTGAGCGGCTCAGCTGATGCTTCCTGGGTGCCATCTACTCCCCATGCAGCAGCCTTAATGAGTGCCACCTGTCCCAGTGTCAGAACTTCGCTCCAACCCCTCTGTCTGTGCTTGAATGAGCATAGCAATCCCACTGGGCAGTGGCCCGGGTCTAGAACTGTATCTAATTGGTCCTGAGTCCCCCCACATAATGACCTGATGGAAGGTTAGCCAGCCCCTTTACCAACTTGTCCTTGAATTCACCCTGGAGAGAAACTTTCCTACAAACCTGTGGAAACAGCAGTCAAAAAAGCAAACAATATATTGTGTTACTTAAATATATTTAACAAAGTGTTAAAAAGCAAAGATGTCACAAAGATGTGGACTAAAGTGCACTTGACCCAAGCTATGCTATTTCCATCACCTCATATGCATGCAACAAGTGCATAAGGAAAACCAAGAAGAACCCATGCATTGAAATTGTCATGTTTGTAAAGGATATTGACCATGCCTCAGACTGCCACAAGAATGAACAACTCTATCTTGAAAGACGTAGAGCCAGAATGCCCCTTAGAACCACTTCACGTATTTTGGCCATATCCCTGGAGAAGGACTTCATGCTTGGCAAAGCAGAGAGCCAGAGAGAAAGAGGAAGACCCTCAACAAGACACACTGACTGCAGTAAAGAGATCAAATGTACCAACAACAGTGTGAGAATGAATAACCCTGGACGAGGCAGTGTTTCTTCTGTTGGATCCTGGTTGCTATGAGTTGAAGGGACTTGACAACACCTAGTAACAGTCAATAGAAACAGGAAAGACCCTATTTCCAAATAAGGTTATATTCACAGGTATCTGGGATTAAGAATTCAACATCTCTTTCTTTTGGAGACACAATTCAACTCATAACAGCATCTGTGGAGGAAACTGGGCACAAAGAAGGGGAGAACTGAGGGAACCCAGTTTTCCTGTTGAAGTAGGTGGCAGCTGAGGAGTTTAGGGGCTTAGCACTGGTGTAGGGTGGAGAAAGATGGCCCAAGGTTCTGTACTGAGAAAGTCAGAAAGGGACAATGAGGGATGTTCGGGGTCAGTTAGAGTGGGCTTGTGCATCCTGGAAACCCAGAACTTTTCAGACCACAAGTGATTGAAGCCCAACCCAAAGGAGTTCAAGCAAAAGGATTTACTGGCTCAGTGCTGAAGCACTGGACTTCTCACCACAAGGTCGGCTGTTCAAACCCACCAGCTTCTGCTTGGAAACCCTGTACAGGATCACTGTGAGTCAGAACTGATTTGACAGCACTTAACTAACAACCATCTCTGTGTGGAGTTCTGGTGTGGTGCTGTAGGATAAGCACTTATCTCAGGGTCAGTTTGAACTGCAAGGTTGGCAGTTCAAACTCACCAGCCACCCCTTAGAACCCTATACAGGGTGGATATGAGTTGGAACTGACTCCAAGGCACTTAACAATGGCAACAATCTCTGCGTTGAGCTTCTGGTTGGTGAAAATGGTTAATGCACAGCTGCT